AAAATAATGCACAAAGTAAAAAAAAAAAAAAAAAAAAAAAAAAAGTAAATTTTTAAGAAATTTGCGGGATTTCCCGGGATATTTTCCGTATTAAAAAAACAACCGGGATCCCTGGATCCCGTTTGAGAAACACTAGTGTGAAGCCAAGAATATATTCTACCACAATCGTTAGTGAATGATTACGGGTTTTGAAAACATTACACATATTAGATAACTGTAATGCATACTCCAATCCTTTCGAGTACCAGATTCCCCATCCACCATTATTCCAACTATTTTTCATAATCTTTCGACTCATTGGCTCATAAGCTTTTTCCAAACAAAATTAAAGATTTTCCTCTCAATTAAATTAACACCAGACATTCTCAAACTTGTTGTATATAACTGATACATTATCCTTGAATAAACTGCTTTATTAATACAGTAAATGATTACTTTCAGCAACTATCTTATGATACAGATGATTAATAAGGTAAGTTTACACTATAACTATTTTAAAAGGCATTTGACACGATTAATAGAGGTATATTATGGAACATTTTAGATAAATATGGTCTTAATGAGAATGAGCTGAATAGAATTAAATTACTTTATTATAAATCGTATACGCAAATTAACATGAATGGAAGAATATCTACTGATGTTCGTTATGATGCGGGTGTGAGACAAGGGTGCCTGTCAGCAATGTTATTGTTTGTGATTTATATTGATTTACTTCTGAAAAATATACAGTCTGATCAAGTGATTAATCCTATCTATATACCGGAAATGGCTGAGCATGTTAAGTTTATAGCACACGCAGATGACATTAGTTTCTTTTTTGGTTAATCAACCGGCAATGAATAGGACTGTGTCCATAATTAAAAAGTTTAGTAAACTGACTGGAATGGTGGTTAATGAAAATAAATGTAAGATGATGAATGTCTATGGTGATCTACGATGTGATATGATGAATGTAGATAGGGTAAATAATATTAAGCTATTAGGATTTTGGTATGGTTTAAATAGTCATGAAAAGACTGTGGAAGTGATTTTACAAAAGACTGAGAATGCTATTGAAGAATGGGATGTCAATTGGTATTATATGCCTGAGAGAGTAACAATTACTGTAATTTACTATACGATAAGTGAGCTGTGGCTATGGATTATAGTTTAAATCACAATATTAATGCCGCGGTTGTATAAACAATATCTATTGTATATATTCAATACAAATCAGGATCTCTGGCGCTGGCGGCCACAACTTTTTATTACATTCTGTGGTAGCAAAATATTCCAGTGTCTTTAGCTTGACGTGAAGTCCATTAACAATTAGAACGATTGAAGATATGGTAACGTAATGTACTTATTACGTACATTACGTTAATAATTAGAATGCCGACTATTATTCGAAAAAAATTCGAAAAGACACATCACCGCGTGCACTAACTTGCGCTTTCACAACTTCTAAATTTTCATTCACAAAACCACATAATAGACCCCGAAACGAAATTATCTGAACTATGAAGGATGCCATGTTGCTTTCCATCGTAAACTACTGCTACTCCGACTGGAATTTAGGAACGCGTTCCGCAGGAATTTTTAATTAAACGGATGTCGCTCGCGCGGTGTTGCGAGGAGGAATAAAAGAACGCACCCATTACTACTCTCTCCAACACATGCCCTCAGGTAGCCTTTCCCCTCTTTGTTTTATGTGGTTCCACGAATCGGCTCTCACCACCCAAGAGAATAGAACAATAGAAAGTTATAGAAGTAAGAAGGAACAAAAAACAAAGGAAAGAATGCTAAAACTATGACTACGCAAAAATTATAAAATGGCGTAAGGCCACAAGGGGAAGATACAATAATTTTATCCCGTGAGGTTGGCAACTTTGAATCCGACAGCGATAGAAATCTATAAGAAGGTTGCAGTGTTTCACCGAAACGAGCTTTATTATGTATTTTCGTCGTCTGATTTTATCTAAATCCGAGTTGTTTAATTAATTTCCTGATCAAAGAAACTAATAGATTGTCTAGAATGTCGAACGTTAAGAGATAAACAAAGCCTTCCTAGCAAAATACAGTTAATATAAATCATACATGATTACGTAAAACAGCCGAATAAAAAGTAGTCGGTTATTTACACGAAAATTCCCGACATCAGAAATGACGCGCTGGCGTAACTTTTGAAATTGAAAAATACACAAAATTCACTATTTAATAATATAATAATATAGAAATGTGTAAATTCACAAGATTTATTCACTATAAATATAACAAAAAAAAAAAAAAAGTTTGTTTACAGATTTATTCATTTATAATTTATTTTACTTTTTAAATACGGGATAAGATATTCCTTTAATTGGATAAAAATAAAATATACATCGTAGAACTTCTTTCAACGTTAAATGCAAAATAATAAAAGTTTGAACGATAAAATATTAAGTTTTCAAATATAGAATTTTGTCCAATCAGCGCCTTCCATAAAATAAAATACGGACCTGTAAAGTTCTTTACTGTGATTCGTTCGATAGTAGATGCATGCTGAGTTCGTTTGTCTGTTTGCTCATTGCTATTAGGCTTCTGTAAAAATGTTGGAAACTGAAGAAAGGTACGAAATTTTTATCATTAGAAAATTCGTAAAATATCGTAAATTAATGTAATTCTAAACGATTTAACAATATCGTAATATTTTTATTATTTCAAATTATTATTTCATTAAGAAATCTAATCGCGATATATATTAGGCCTAACCGCATGCGTTCGAGAAAGTTCGTCGGCGACTGTTTTCGATTTGGAAAGTAATGACGATACTCGATGAAAATGAATTTTAAACATTTATTTTGTGTCTAAAATAATTATATTTAATTAAAGAAAAAGTAAATTGAGATACGTGTACGTTAATATACAAAGGGTCTATCGTTTCGAAAGGCAAATTGTAATTCTTTCGAAGATAAAGAAATTTATATGAATTAACAGTAGGAAGAACAAAAGTAAATTCGATCTATTCATATTTTGATGATCAAGGATTTTTCTATTAGTAATATGACTTCTTTTGGAAATCTAATTAAAAGCGAGTCTTCTATTTTAATGTTGAATCAGTTACTGAGATGATAATGGATAGATGTTCGTTACTTAAGGAACAAATAGATTAAGAAGTGATTGATATAAAAAAAATTCTCATTGTATGGGCTAAATGTGTAGTCATTTTAAAACATTTTTGCTTATTTAGCAAGTAGACAAAGATTGAGAATAACAAAGAATAAGAGTGAATAGGATGAAATTATTATAGATGTTTATCATTTGCTGTATTTAAAATGTTGTATTTTATTTAATTAGCACATTAAAAATGAACATTCAAAATTAAATATTCAATAATTTAGAATTTTTTTTTTTTTTAATTTCTGTTAGGTACAGTACAGGTTCATTTTATCACAAATGAATGTTGGTATTTGTTAATTTTTTTTCATTTAAACATACAACAAGATCTGTAAAAGTTCCTATACAGTAATACCTCGAGTTATGGAAACCCAGAGTTACGCGATTTGAAAATCGCGTTGATTCGTCTTTTGTTTGAGCACCACGCAACTCTTGATTACTCGCTCCCTCACGCTATTGTTCAGCTTACGTGTTCGGACGTGTCGCGCGGAATCTACACATAACTACAATTTATTTTGTGTTATTTATTTCTGTGTTTGTTATATCTATGGAGACTTAAGAGACTCTATGTGGTGATTTCTTGTAACTGTGAACTAATCAAAAGACGAGATAAGATTAACGAGAACATTTATTAGCTTACATACATCCGACTTGGATTTTACACAAATTACGAAATTATACCTGAACTTGTGTGAATTTGACTTACGCGGTTATCGCTCGGTCCCACCTATCATGTAAGTTCAGGATATTACTGTACTCAAAAATAGAATTGTAACTGTGTCAAAAGTTGGTTCATATTGATTTTAGAATAATTTTATCTTGCTTCTATTTTTCAAATATACAGTATATAACATCACAACAGATCAAGATTTTGAATGATGAACACTTAATTTTTGCTACGTGTAAATTTCATCACTTCGGTTGGATGATCTATTCTAATAAAAAAAATGAATATCAATCAAATTATTATTAAGTACATTTAGTACTTTAGTAATCTCATTATAATAAAATAAATTCAGAATTATATATTCATCAGTGAATCTATGTATATTATTACAGTACTTGTTAATATATTGATTGATGAATTAATATATTCATGTAAATGAATTATTATTTTTTACTGAATAAAAATAGCAAGCTTATTCATTATTACATGTACTATATATCTTATAAACCTAACATATACATATGTTAAAGTATTTATTTATTCCAAGAAGTATAATAAAATGTTTTTATTTTTATTCAATATTTTCATGTTTTAAAACTATGAACTTTGTAGTGATTACTATCATATTGAATATTATAAAGTAATAAAGGTGGTGAGTTGACTTCTAAACAAATTCTTAGTTGTCTAGTTAGAGGCATTGTTTTATTTAGCTGCTTGTCCTTAATAAAATAAAATTTATTTGGGAACTCCATAATCATCAGATTAACAGTTAATTTACTTTGAAATGAATGTAATTTTATAATGATAAATGTAACCAATTTAAACAACCGATGCCGCCGTACCAATATAAACAACTGAAGCGTACTCAGCAGAAAAGTTGGTAACCAATTTAGCATAATTTAAGAAATACATTTACAAATACATACCTTATACTTTGAATGACTCTTAGAATGTTTCAGAGTTCTAATGGTAAAAACATTTGACAAAAAAATCGCTTCCAAGCTTACATTCAGTACATGAAGTGAAAAAAATGTGCTCAAAACATAAATGCAATCTGTTATGTGCCCATTTGCTCTTGAATTAATCTCATGTTTTCAGTCCTTTTTTTGCTTTATTTTTGGTATGTTTTGTTTATATATATAGTGTATTATTTGATGAATTTATGATGATTTCTTTTTGCAATTTTTCATCAACAGCTTTTGAGCATCCTGTACATTTTGAATGGAACATTTAATAAATCACATTTGACATATTTGAAATTCAGGAACATCTTCCCCATACACATTATGCATGTTTTTAACTGTATGGCATTACAGTAGAGCGTCGATTATCCGAAAGTCAATCATCCGAAAGAACTCCAGTCGGCAAATTTAAATTTTCGCCAGTGCTGTGGCACTGCAATCTTTGCTTATGTCTTGGGCTACTCAAATATTTTACATTTTTGATACTAAATTAACTTCTGAAGTATAATTTATTGTTTTTATATTTTTCAATATATTTATTTTGTTCATACAAAATAAAAAAAATAATTTTTAACAATACAATAGTCTTTGTTAGGCTTAACATCGACGAAAATTCAATGCAAAGCGACACGCAATGGAGAAAAATGTCAAGCTGGGATAAATTAATATATTTTTTCGTACATAATCGGTTATCTGAAACATCGATCTTCCGAACAACCCCAGTCCTCAATTGATTCAGATAATCGACGTTCTACTGTATATCCTTTTCAAAACTCAAAGCATAATATACCTGATATAGTTTTTATCCCAAAACATTTCAACTTGATTTTATTCAAACAAAATGTGAAGTAAAATGTTTAAAATAAGCCTCTAAACAGAATATAATCTCACATTAGCAATAATGTGTTAAATTTTACAGCTGTTAACATAGATTTTATAGTGATGGGATGATTGATTGGAATCGAAAAATCAGGCATTTTCTGGTAATCAAAATTAAGCAAATCTTGTCACGATTTCCAATTATTAAAATGATTCTTCCACATTTAATACAAAAATTTGTTTCGGTTGAAGATTAAAAATTTTTTAAATTATGACATTAACAATTAAATATTAGTGTATTTGAAACTTTCATGCTTTTAAAGCATAGTACGCAATGTATGAGATGATGTCTGTCATGGCAGACTTTTCTTTCTTATAGTCAGAGTGATAAATGATTGCACTTGGTCAGTACAAATTGTCCTCATTTTAGGGGAGATAAGGTGACATTAGGGTTGCTACCCTACCAGTATTGAGCCGGCTTGACCAACAGTTTCAAATCGAGGCTGGTTATTGGCAAAAATATTTAAGTATTAAAACAATTTAAAATACAGTAGAGCATTGATTATCCGAATGTCAATTAACCAAAAGCTTTCCAGTCAGAAAATTTAAATTTCTGCTAGTGCTGTGGTGCTGCAATCTTTGGTTATGTCTTGGGCTACTCCAATATTATTATTGTTGGTGTGAATGTTTTAGCTGGCAGCACTGGCACAACCATGAGAGGATACTTAAGGACATTCCAGGATTTGAACGAATTTCAGTATGAGATAACTTAATATATTTTTTCGTACATAATTGGTTATTTGAAAAATTGATTTTCCAAACAACCCAGTCAGTCCCCAATTGATTCGGATAATCGATGCTCTACTGTATAGACAAAATTATATTTTAATTGAAAAAATATATAAAATTATTTTTAATATTTAATATGTTTACTTACAATGATAAAACAACTTTATCATTATAATTATAAAAGTTTTTGTTGTGATTCGTAGACAATGCTGTAATACGTTAAATTTTCAAATGCGGTTTGCACGATTCTAAATAAAAATACTTGTTTGTGCTAAGTTTACCGTCATTTGAATTTTAAAAATTGATTTTACAAGATGAGTCTGTGTAGACATTTGTGGCTTAAGTGAATGAATTCAAAAATTTGTCACCTCGTGACGATATTTGTTCGACTTGTGTCGTTTGTTGAATTCATTTAATGTTAAGTATGATGGAATTAAAGCTTTTAAGGTCCATTTACACACAACAGTGATGTGCCGGCACAGTGCAGTGGGAAATCGTTGACTTAGTTTTAAACCACCCTGTCCAGACTCATCCATCACAGTGTTGTGCAGTGGCATGACTGTACTGTGAAAGTACATTTGACAGGAACAATATTTTTACTGACAGTAAATTTTGTTTTCCAATGGATGACAAACATTTAATTGAAATGATGCATCAACACCCTGTTCTATTTGATTTATCTCATTCGAAATACATGGACATTGGGTACAGAATGAATATTTTCTCTGTTTTGTTTAATAAAATATGAAATGCATGTTGGGACATTCAAAATATTCAAAAAATATAGATTCGTCACCTCAATTTTTATAAAAAGTATGACACTCCCATTCTGTTGATATTTTTTGTCCATGCTTGCTGTACCCACTTGCAGCACTTGATCGCATTTCTTTTTCTTCTTCTTCCAAACATATATCTATCATAGCCAATTCATCCTCAGAAAAGTCCATGACCACTCACTGACAGCACAGTCACATCACTGTTGTGTGTAAATACGCATCACTGTGCCGTGCTTGACGCCACTGTCACCAAATGGTCACTGTGCCAGCACGTCACTGTTGTGTGTAAATGGACTCTTACATGATATGCTGATTGAAAGAAGTATGAAAAAAGAAGTGCATCTTCTCATTCACCTTACCTGGTCATCGTTCTGCCAGCAAAGCAATTTCCAAAGATGGTGACCTTACATGACATGATGAGATCATTTTGAGTAAAAGA